AGACCGGAGCCGAGCGCGAGCCCCCCCTCCCTCTCCGACCTGGTCGAGAGAGAACGCTCAGGGGGGCGCCCGAGCGGCCCTGTCTCTGCGGATGGGAGTAAGGGGGCGGGAACGGGTCCCCTGCCCCTGTCGGCCCTTCCGAGTCTGCCACGGGGTCGGGCCTCGTCACCTCCTGGGGTCTGAAGGCGGAGGCCCAAGGGGCTGACTGAAAACCAGGGGCCTTCGGAGGCATGTTTGGTGGGAGCAGGGATTCTCGCACTGCGGTAAGTGCGTTCGAGGGGACGCAGTCACCGAGCGTCCCCGTTAGCCAAGTCAGTCTTCTGTTGCCCTGTCTTTCCTTTTTCCCGAAGCCGTTTCGGTCGATACCGTTTTCTCTTGGGTCACGCAGTCTGCCTTCGGCCACTACTCCGGACGGGCTCGGGGCTAGGTGCCCGGACACCAGCGGCGGCCGCCTCGGGAGGGAGGCAGACCCGGGGGAGAGCGAAACATGACAAATGCCAGGCTCTGTGCTTAGCAACTTACATATGAGTGTATGTTCGTAAAACCTCACAATTAATTAGTTAATAGTTGGGGATTAGTTTCCCTTTTATAGGAAGGAAACTGAGGCTTAGCCCTCACCCCATCTGATTGGCTCAGGGTCACTCACAGTGATTGTTTGAACCTAGGTATGCTTCTTCCGTAGCAGGTGTCGCTTGATCACTTCAGAATGGGAAGGAAACGAGCCAGGGAAGTTAAGCAACTTGCCCGCTCCCACTGTAGCTGGTTGGTGCTGCGGCAGGCACAGAACTCCACTTTGCTCCACTTTTCCCTCTACCTGGTGTGTGCCTGGCACTGTGTGCCCAGCCATGTGCGGTAGGATTGCTGTTTCTTCTGCCTGTAACCTCCTCCCAATTCTGTTTTAAAGAGAAACAAAAATATTTTCTGTCCTTAAAGACTAGTTCAAATGCCACTTCTTCCATGTATGACACCACTTGATACCTCTCGTGGGACTTATCAAATAATTGCAACAAAAGGCGTCATATGTCGTATATGTTGGTCCAGTATAATGAACCTTTGTTGAGGGCCCACTGTGTTCCAGACAGATGTCTGAATAGTAGTCTTTTCTCCTTGAGGACAAGAAGCAACGGTTGTTCATATTTCTTATCGTATCTCACCTTATAAGGTGCTTTTTAAAATCTCTAGTGAGTGATTGAACATGTGTGCCTGCCCTCAAGAGCCTGCACCACACTTGGAGGTATGTGCAGAAACATGTTAAGGGCTAACTTATGTAGTTGAGAATATAAATGTTGAAAGAACTTGGAGAGCAAACCATTGGACTGTAGATGGGGAGGGTTTCCTGGGGCAGAAAGACCTTGAGCAACACTCCGAAGAATGTATTTGCATAGGAAGAGAGCAGGGACGATGTTTCTGTGGCGGAAATGGAGTGAACTCAGGACACCTGTCTGACATAAAGGGTGTGCTGCATATAGGAAAGAAAGAGATGAGCTGGGTGGAGTGTGTCCAGATTGCAGCCAGGCAGGCAGAAAAGTTGCTATTAGTGTGGGAGGCCAGAGTAAATTATAGCAGGTTCTGCACTAGAAGTATAATCATCTGTCCCCACTTCAGCCAAATACCAGGAGCTATAATAGGAGCCTCCTGTTTCAATAGGGCACAGGACTCTGACCCGCAGGGCAGGGAGACAGCAGAGGAAAGCAGAAGACTATCAGGAGATACTGAGAAGAACCTTGTTTGTTCAGCTAAATTCAGATGGTTTTTAAAATCTCTAGTGCACAAAAAGAGATCATCCTCCTCAAGCAGTCATCGGTGTTAGAGACAGAGGTAAGCAATAAAACTTGCAAAGTGGCTTACTAGGGGCCCTGGAGGTAGGGACCCTGCTTTTTTAGCCTTAATTCTGCCACCAAACTGTGTGACCTTGAGAGATGTACTTAAACTCCTCTTTGGATTTCTGGAGCACTCCTGTAAAGTGCATCTCTAAAGACCTTTCTAATTATTATATTAATCTATCTCTTAGATAAAATAGTCATCTGTTATGAAAAATAATTCAATGGCATTTAAATTTTTTTAAGTTGATTCCGAAGGGAGGCCAGACATGAGAATGGAAGGTTTCACAATTTTTTGCCTCTGCTGAGCACTGGAAGAATACAGAGTGGAGGAGGGGACTGTTAACTATTTTCAGTGTTTCCCTCTCACCCTTTTCCTTTGGGGGGATAGTGAGTATGATGGTCGACACAGGCTCTGGAATAGACTGACTTGGGTGCAAATTCAGCTCCTTGGCTGACTGTGGAGTGTGACCTCTCTGAACTTCAGTGTCTTCATCTATAAGTTGGGAGTAATAAGAACTACCTCGCTGGATTGTTGTGAGGAGTGGATGAAAGACATTACATGATACCAGGCACAAAGCACGGCTCGGTGAATGAAGGGTAGCTAATAAAATTTGCAGGGTCACTAAGGATAGTATAGCTTCACAGATAGTACAGCTTCTGTGTCCGGATTTCAGTGATTTTCTTTCATCATTATTTCTTGGCACTCCCAGCACCATACGTGGCTTACAAACCACAGGCTATGATGTGTTTAACTTTAAAAAGCAGGCAGTGTTTTCTTCTGAAGTGTGGCTCCACTGTGGGGTTTGGTTACACCCAGAAGAGGAGGTCAGTGAGCAGTCATGGAAACTGCATCTTCTAGGGCAGGAAGGGACCCATGGTTCTTCTTGAAGATTTCCATTTTCTGAGTCAGCCCAGCATGCATTTAGAAGAGTTCTCTTCTTTTCCTCCCAATTTCGTCTCCTCTATCCCCTTTCCTCTTCCTCCTCCCTAAAGTGTGCTGGACTGTCGGAAGAGTGGATGGGGATGAGGAGGAGGCAGAGACATCTCTTCCTTTCATCTAGCTTGTGCAGAGACACTCTGAACACCCTGGGACTGTGTGGACCATAAATTGTAAGGGCGAGCTTTGTAAGCCTACATTCCTCTTGGTTTTCCATGTTTCGGTCAGAATGCCTAAATAGAAAGCACCCAGTAATGCAGTTTGCCTCATCTCTGTTCCAGGTTGGCAAAGCCCCCAGAGGCCAAGGCATGAGGCTGAATGCCCTGCTACCTGAGTATGTGTCAGGAGTTAGGGCCAGTAGTTTGGTTTTGGAGAACTAGGACCACCCCTCCCAGCTTCAGGGGTTCACACTCCCAGGAGCTCCCCATTTCCAAATGCTGCAGCTCCATGCAATAGGGTTTCAAACCAGAAGATGTGGATTCAGGTCCCAGCTGGGTACCTCTTGACCGTGGGATGAGTGTGGGATGCTGCTTTAAGTATAAACACCTTTCTGCTTGATTTTGCAGTCCTGTATGTGCTCAGCAACATCCCTGGCCTTCTGAGGGTGAAGGATAGGTAAGACCTAGGGATGACAGGAGGGGAAGCCATGGGGGATGAGGAAGGCCTAATGTTCGTACTGCTTGTGAACATAAAACGGTTTTACATTGTGATGCCACTTAAATTCACTGTGTGGTGTGAACTGACCTTTCAACTTCCTTGAAACTGGTTAATACATCCGTAGTCTAGGGTGATATAAGGCAATAATCCCCATGAAAGTATTTTGTAAACTACAAGGTGCTGAACAAGTTTTTACTTGTATTCCTCTCCATGGGGCAAAGTTTGCTGCTATACACAAAGCAAAATCTCAAAAATAATGATGATGATCACAATGAGCACCACGTAGTCTTAATAATATTAAAATTAATAGCTAACCTTTGCTGAGTCTTTATTATGTGCAGGCATTGCACTAAGCACTCTGCATTATCTTTTAAACTTCACAACAACCCTATGAAAGACTGACTTTTCCTATCATTTTACAGATGAGAAAACAGAAGCACAGAGAAGTTAAGTAATCTGCCCTTATTAGGTCTTACAGCTAATATGTGATAGAGCCAAGATTTGAACCCAGGCGGACTGACTCCAGAGCCTGTGCTGTTAACCACCATTTAGTGGCTTACAATCCTAGCAGTCCCTTGGTACTGAAATGAGTAAATGATAATCTTTGGGTGGCTGAGAATGGAGAAATCTTCACACCCAGACCTGGGATGGAATCAGACAGCTCTGTCCAGGGTGTTCAGATCAGCAATTACTGAAGCTCATTTATTTTCAAGTGAATCCCATGAGTAAGACAGAAACATCAACCCAAATTTCTTTGTTCACTTGTTTGTGGTCAAGTGATCTGGGGCATCTTCCAGCAGGCATAAGTGGTGATGTATTTGGTGGTCCAGGGAGTAGCTCTGAGTGTTCTCCCTGGAGTAACAGGAGCTTTCATTTGCACAGATTTCACTCCTGTGGAGAAAAGGGACCTTGTTAAAATGGGGTGGATGCCATCGGTGTGAGCCTTGATGGTTGATGGTAAAGTCCTTGCAGCATGACAGGTTGGTTGGAACCGGGTCTAAGGCATTCAGCACTAGGGGTTCTGTGAGCTTTGCTTTGTGATAAGGTTATAGGATCCAGAAACAGAGAAAGCTAGTTCAAATCTTGGCTCTTGCTACTTAAGTGACCTTGAGCAAAAGACATCACTTTAGTGAGTCCCAGTTGTTATGGAAAATAACCATAGTACCTATGTTATGGGGACGATATGAGCATATAATTGATTTTCTCTTCCACATCTGCTGCACTCACGGTCTTCAGCATCCAGCACATGTCAATTCCATCTGTCCAGTTGCTCAGGAATCATCCTTGACTCATCTCTCTCTCTCACCCCTCTCCCATATCCAATGCAATATATTAAAAAAGCTTGTTGGCTTTACCTTCAAAACATATCCAGCATCTCCTCCTTCTTGTGACCTCCGCTGCTACCCAATGATCCAAGCCACCAATAGCTCACACATAGGTTTTTGAAATAACCTCCAGACTGGCCTCCCTGCTTAAGTACTTGCTGCCTTGTCATCTGTTTTCAGCACAAAAGCCAGAGCGACTCCATTAGAATATGTCAAATCATGTCACTCCTCTTTCCAAACCCCTCTGATGATTTTCCAAGTCAATCAGAGAAAAGCCCTAGTTTTCACAATGACCTCCCCATCGCTGTGTTATGCCCCCTGCTGCCTCTCTGATGTCACCCCCTGTCACTCCCCCCTTGATCACTGCCATCCAGCAAACTTACTGCTCCTTATTGCTCCTCAATATGCCAAGCATGTTCCTACCTCAGGGCCTTTGTAACTTTGGTCTCTGTGCCTGATGAACTTCACCCCCAAGTATCCGCCTGATGGTGTCCTTCGCTGCCTCAATTCAGATGTCACCTCTGGACGAGCACTTTCCTGACCATTCTATGTGAAATAACAACTGCGCAACCTCAGAAGCCACCTGTTCTCCTTTCCCTCTCTTTTTCTCTCTGGTATTTATTTTTCTCTGACATTCTTCATATTTGCTTGTTTAATTATTATTGTCTGTCTCTTCTAATTAAACTAAGTTGCGTGAGTGGGAATTTTATTTAGCTCAATCTTGTATACCCAGTATTTAGTAAAATGTCATATATAGTAGGAGCTCAATAAATGTTATGAATATCACATTATTAAAATCCCTCTACGTAGGGCCTTACCTTTCATAAAACAACGACGAGGGAGACAGTGGAGGGAAGGAATGCCGTGAGGAATGACCTCTAAGAGCTTCAATACCGTGAGGATGAGGAGGAGGATGGGGATGATGATGATGGGATGGTGAGGATGATGACAATGACAGTGACAATGAGGATGATTACTAACTGTTGAGCCATAGGGGAGCTGCAATAATACATGGCCTTGTGATCTTTAACATTTACTGGTCACTTGCTGTATGCCAGGCACTGTGGAGGAGCTTTACCCACATTACCTCTGTCCAGCTTCAGTGAATCTTTGATGTAGGCACCATAAAAGTATTGATCCAGTTTACCAATGAGAGTGGACAGTTTATACAAGGTGACATAGTTTGAGAATGGTGGGGAACAGGCTAGAATCCAGGGAGTCGATCCTAAAGCTCACACCCTCAATGAGCACACAAATGTATACACAAATAAGAAAAGACGGCTTAGTGTGGTGAAGTAATTTACCCAAGGCCATTCAGCCTTCAGATGAAATCCAGATTCTTAATAAGCATCATGAACATCAAGCTGGGAAGGAGAGGGCAGGACCATATCTCAACCCGACACAGGTGATTCACTTCCACAATTGCTCCCTCTTACCGTGCTGCTGACGGACTTAATGTTTCATCCCGTAGGTGTGCTGTAGACAAGAAAAATAATAATAATGAGGACCACTGCCTTAGTACGACATTAAAACAAATCTTTCATCATCTGGCTCCTGCTTCTCTTTCTAGCTTCATTTCTCTCTCTGATTTTTTCCTATTCTATGTTTAGCCAAACTGAGCTTTCCTGCAGTTGCCCTTATTTGCTGTAATCTCTTAGGAACTCAGCTTCTTTGACCCTTTTCCTGCTGTATCATCCCCAACCTGGATAAGGTGTCCCTTCCTGGTGCCCCAGCTCCCATATGGGTCATAGCACTTAACACAATGTATTGTAATTGCCTGTTTACTTACTGTCATCCACACCAGAACTTTCAGGGCAGAGACTCTGTTCCTTTTTTTCATCCCCAGCACCAGACAGTTGGCCTGGATTGTAGGAGGCACTCAATATATGATGGATAGTTGGATGGATGGAGTGTTAGTTTGCTAGAGCTTCCATAACAAAATACCACAGACTGGGTGGCTTAAACAACAGAAATTTATTTTCTCAAAGTTCTGGAGTATAGATGTTCAAAATCTAGGTGTCAGCAGGTTTAGTTTCTTCTCAGGCCTCTCTTCTTGGCTTGCAGAGGGCCGCCTTCTTGCTATGTCCTCACATGGTCTTTCCTCTGTTCGTGCACGTTCCTGATGTCTCTGTGTGTCCAAATTTCCTCATAAGGAAACCAGTCAGTTTGGATTAGGGCCCACTCTAAAAGCCTCATTTTAACTTTTCTTTCTCTTTTCTTGGCAGCTGGACAATACAGGAATCCAAACTCTTGACCTTGGTGTTATAATACCGTGCTCTAACCAACTGAGCTAACCAGCCAGCCCCTCATTTTAGCTTAATCACTTCTTTAAAGATCCATTCTCCAAATACAGTCACATTATGGGTTACTAGAGGGCTTCAACATATGGATTTTGGGAATATACAATTCAGCCCATAACTGATGGATGGATGGATATGATAGTACATGACCTAGGATCCTCAGCTTCCAGCATTGTCAGAGTGCCCACTCTTTAAATGCAGGGGATGTTGGAAAAGTCCCAAACCTTTGAAAATTTAGTGGAAGTGTGTGTTATATGTAAACGCAATGTTTTATGATAGGTTTAGATAACACATTATAAATATATGGTACTAATTTGACCAAAAAACATAGAAGAGGTGCATGGACATGGCACCTTCCTTCCTAAGTGAATGGGATGCAGAAGGAGCCATAAAAACCCTATTTCCCAGAGACTGTTTTCATCCTGCCCCTGCCTTGCTCAAGAATCTGCCATATCTCCCTATTAGACTCAAACCACAATGACCAGGAGTGTGTGTGTGGGTTGGGGGTGTGGGAGCTATGCCTCCCCACCCACCTAGAATTCAATTCAACCTACCACTCCCTGCGCTACAGCCACCTACAAGCCCTTGCTCTTTGTTCAAGCTCTTCTCCCCAGCCCTGCAGCCTGAAGTCCCAGCTGCCTCCTCAAGGAAAACCTAGCCCCTGACTACCTGGCCACCTTTAATCCCTGCATCATTTGGGTTCCTCAGAATGAGGAAGAGGGGTAAGGATACAGATTAGGTTTGATCCTATCTGGAAGACATACTAGGTGTGTGGCTCTGGTAAGTTTTCTAACTTCTCTAAGCCTCAGTTTCCTCATTTATAAAGTAGGATGAGTACTTCACAGGATTCATGGGAAGTAATAAATATGAAAAAGCAGCTCTCTCCTTCCCAGCTTGATGTTCATGATGCTTATATTATAAGTTATATATATATAGTTATCATCAATGTGTGCCAACTAAATAAATCCAGTTCCTCTGTAATTCAGAGTGTATCTGTGTATTATCAGCTGTAGAAAAAAACAAAGATAACATCTGTAAACTATGGATTATAGTACCCATGTCCCAGGGTTGTGATTAGGTTTCAGTGAAATAATATCAGTAAAGTACCCAGCATGTTTCATATCAGGAGAATGAAGATTATTGTGTAATCAGTGTCTTATCCCTATCAGGCCATTGGCCTGTACAAGGCAAAACCTTGTCTGTTCACTGCACTATCCCAGTGTTTATTATTGGGTGGGGCACATAATTGACACTAGGAAAGTCTTTCATTCAATTCATGCATAGAACAAATCTGAGCATGAGATGGAGGCAAGGTGGCTACAGAAGTGAATAA